GTGCATCCCCTGAGCCTTACGCTCCGACCCCTCCCTTCTCCAGGATGCCCTCACCTGGTAGAGGCCGCCATCTGCCCCGAGATGCTCAGAACTGGGCAGGCTGTGCTGCCGCTCGAACCCGGCTCGACACATCCCATTGGGCTGCCGGGCGGCTGCAGCATCCAGATGGTGGTCACTGGTGGACGGGGTCATCGCTGCAGCGCTGGAAGCCGAGGGGCCTCTGCGAGACAGGGTCTCTTTCCGGTGGTGGATCAGTTTCCTGACAGAGGGCCAGGGAGACTCTCAGGGGGTGCGGAGTCCTCACACTTGCTCCTCCCACGAACACCATCTCCCCCGCCGCACCCCGTGCGCGTGCCCTGCCAGTCTCGTCCCCTGCACATCTCTGGTGGCCGCTGAGGGTCCCCGCCCAGCACGCTCTCTGGGAGGTGCCACCTCCGCCCGCCGCACTCACTGGAGGACGCCACGCTGTTCCAGGCTGTACTTGCCCCCGTCCCGCATGGCTGTGTTGTGCACGGCCTCGATGGCCCGGTCGATGGCTTGCAGGACATCTTGGTCTAGGCCCTGGGGGGCAGGGGAGGCCGTCAGGGCTGGGGGAACCCATGGCTGAAGCCTGGGATGCTGGGCATGAGCACAGAAGGCAGAACTAGGACGCAGAGTGGGGTTCACAAACCGTCCTGCCGGGGAGCCAGGACGCAGGGTGGCCCTCGTGTGGCCACCCACAATTTTATCCCACAGGGAGGACCTTGGCTGAGATGTCTGTGAAAAGCAGGGCTTCAGAGCCACGACACAGCCCAGGGACCCCCAGCTTGAGGCCAGGAGGGTACACCTCGTCTATCCCGGGGCTGGGCTCGGAGCTCGTGCGGAAAAGCCAAGCAGGACGATTCCAGTGTCTGGAACCCTCGAGAAATCACTCTGGGGCTTGCTGATCCTTCACAAAGCCAAGGTCACACCCCAGAAGAGCCCTGTCCTCAGGGAGCCCTCTGCAGGCCCTGGGAGCCGAGAACGGGCCAAAGGGACCTCCCTCCCCATCCCCGCTGCTGGCCCTCCCCCAGGAACCTTCCAGACTTCCCTGGGAAGTGGTTCTGTGTTGTGGGATGGATGCACATGAGAAAGGGGCCTGGCCCCTGCTCCAGGTTCTGTTGCCATCTCGGGCAACCCCGCCTGCCGGCACAGGGTAGCGTGTGGGGCAGCAGCTGTGGGACCTGATGCCCCCCACCCCACCCGCCCCGGGCCCTCATGGTCCATCAGGCTGCACAGGAGCTGGAGCACCGAGGTGGCCATGGCCCCTCCGGGGGGAACGGGGCATGCCAGTGTGCAGCGAGAGGGAGTGACACCAGAGCGGAACAGAGACACGCAGAGACACTCAGAGAGCGCCTGAGAGCCACGGACGGCCCGCGAGAGTCAGAGACAGACAGACACGCAGGTGGAGAGCCACAGGAGACCGACAGCGGGCCACAGAGACAGGGAGGCTCGCCGAAAGACACGATGCAGGCCCCGACCTATGCCCAGGACGGGAAGAGGAGCCTTTGATGAGACCCCAACCCCACAGAGGCTTCGGTCTGACGCACTCGCTCCAGACCCAGCAGCCGGGTGCCCAGGGCCTCCGCTCTCACCCCAAGAGCAGTCCAAATGGGATTACGCTGAGGGTCTGGGAAGGAGCCCCAAGGGCCCTGGGCCCAGCCCCTCCAGTAAGACCAGATGACACTTCCAAATTTATCTTGTTATTTCTGTCCTCAACCAGGCCGGGACAGGATGTTTCCTAAGGCTAGGGACTGTCTGGCACGGACAGGGCGGCTCCGGGCCCACCTTCTCCCCGGGGTCTGGACAGACTGGCTGGAGATTCCGCACCCCAGCCCCGGGAGCAGGATCTGGGACTGCAGCATCCATGGGAAGGAAATGGGGCCACGGTCAGACCACGAGGAGGACTCACTTCCTCCTGACAGGAGAAGCCTCCACTCCGGGCTGGGCACGAGCGACAGAGCTTCGCTGCTTTGGGAGGAAGGAAGTCCCAGAAGTTGGGACCGGAGGCTTGAGGAGCAGCGCCAGGGATGTTGGCACGGGCTGGGGGCCTGGGTTCAAAGGGGAATCTGTGGGGCTCTTGGGAAAAGCTGATTACAGCACAGGGCTTGGGGGTCCCGTGAGGGGTGGGGTCCAAGTGGGGGGTTGAGGGCCTGGAAGATGGCTGGAGAAACAGGTGGTGTGGAAGGTGACCCAGGTCTCAGTGGAGGCACAGCTCCGGGCCGAGGTTCGACGGGCAGAAGGCATCAAGGGTCTGGGGTCTCAGGGAGTGGCTTAATTGGCCAGCGTTCGATAGGGTGGGAGTCAGGCTCGGTTATTCTATGACGGAGGTTCCTCTGCCGGGCGTTCCGGGTCCTAAGGAGTCTCAGGTCCCACAGTGAGGCTTTAGGTGTGTCTGGGGTTGGCTGTCAACAGCCCGGTTTTCGGCAGGGGATGCTGGCTCTTGAGATTCTCAGTCGCCATTGGTCTAGGAATCTCAAGGGTCAGGATCGCAAACTTCCTGTCTGCTAAAGGTCCCGGCCGCTGGTCCCCGAGCGTCGGGGTCCGTCCTGCGGGGTCCAGTCACAGGGGCCGTGGAGGCCGCGCCGAGGAGGGGCACACTCACCTGCAGGCGATGCAGGTAGGCGGGTGGCACGTAGCCTGTCTCGCCACTGCGCGCCCGCGCCGCCAGCCACCAGTGCGTGCTGCTGCGCTCCAGCACCAGAAAGGTCTCGCCCGCAGCGAACGCCAGCGCGTTGGGCTCCGCCGAGCGGAACGCATACAGCGCTCGGTACATGAGGCCAGGCCGGGCCGCCCCGGTGCCGCAAAAGCGGCAGGAGCTGCGGAGCCAGGACGCCAGGCCAGGAGCGCCGCGCCGCGCTCGTACCGCCCCGTGACACACCGCGCGTGCGCGCTCCCGCCCGCCGCTGCTCCGCCCCGTGGGTGTCAGCCCACGCAGCGGGGCGCCGGCGCCCCCTGGCGGCTCCACGGAGCGGGGCGCGGCTCGGGAGTCTGCCTCTGCTCCGAACCTCGCAAAGTCTGCACGGTTACCCCACGCCAGCCAGGACCGACCCCGCCTCCCCCAGAGCCCTGGCCTCGGCTTCCCTGGCCCGGCTCTCCGCTCCTTTTCCCCGCCGCAGCCCGAACATTCCCGGGCAGTGGGTTCCAACCTGCTAGAGGACAGCGACTCGGACGCGGCGCTCTCGTTTTTTGAAAGCCTCTACAGAGGCCGGGTCTCCTGGGCTGCTCCGCACCAAACCCCAGCTCCAGTGCTATGCCGGTGGTGGGCAATGGGGAGCGAGTGTGGGGAAGGGGGTCCGACTATCCTGTGCCGAGTCCTCCCATCTTGGCTCCTCGGCTCCAGCCCTCCCTCTTCAGCCTCCGGCTTCTGCACATCCCGTTCCTGCCTCCCACAGCAAGAGGTCGTCAAGCTCCCACCCTGATACTCGCTTTCATGTTGCTGTTTTCTTGTCTTACTCCAGACACCCACTCCTGAGCGCGATCGGGGGGGGGGGGGGGGGCTGGCAGGCAGTGAGGAGCGGGATGCAAGAGCACTTTGACCCACACCTGCTCAACTCTGTACTCAGCCCAGACCTCCAGGTCTTTGAACCCTTGGGGTAAGGGTCCCTGGTAGAGCCAGGGAAGCAGCCCCCAGGGTCCTGAGGAGAGGGCTTCCTGGGGCTGGTCCAACCACACCGTTTCCACTGGAACATGCAGTAGTGGACACTGGCCCCGGGGCCTCAGTGGGCTGGTCCTAGGAGGTTCAGGTGTGGGGCGGAGCTGCTAGGACTTGACAGTCAGGCCCTGTCTTTTCTGCATCAGCTCTGGCTCTGCACTTCAAGACCTCCCTCGTTGTGCTGCACACGGCCACACCCCACGCTGGGGTTCTTACTTTGTGTCTCGGCTAACAGTGGCTCAGACACTTGAGCCCCCATTACCCACGTGGGAGTTCCTGGCTCAGCATTGGCTGTTGCAACCATTTAGGGAGTGAACCAGAAGTTGGAAAATCTTACCATTTTAAGTAAAATAAATAAATATATATATATATTTTAAGATTCATTATTTGAAAGTCAGACTTGAGAGAGACATACAGAGAGATCTGCCATCCCCAAATGGTTGCAACCGATGGAGAAGAGCTGGTTTGAGGCCAGGAACCAGGAGCTTCTTTCGGGTCTCCCACATGGATGCAGGGACCCAAGCACATGGGCCATCCTCCTCTGCTTTCCCGTGGAGAGCATTAGCAGGGAGCTGGATCAGAGTGGAAAAGTCTAGACTTGAACTGGAGCCCATGTGAGATGCTGGCACTGTAGACCGCAGCTCAACCTGCTGTGCCACAGTGCCGGCCCCAGTGAAACTAAAATGAAAAAAAACAAAAAACAAAGACCACCCTTCAGCTCCTCATTAAAGAAAACCCTCCTGGCACAGAGCTGCAGTAGCTTTTGGGCTGTGCGGCTGCTAAATGAGACTGGTGTACGAACTGCGGTGGGGCCCAGAGCTGAGTAGGAGTGGGGACAGGGGACGTGGCCAAGATGACCCTGTAGCTCAGATCCCCTCCCCTTCCCCCTTACTGAGTCCTCCATCCCCTGGGCCCCTTTACCACAGATCCCATGGCAGCCAATGGATCAGAGCCTCATGGCTACCTAACCCCAGAACTAGCTCCAGGACATCTAAGGGCAGCACACAGCCCCAGGAGGGAGCAACAGCGAGGCCCAGTGTTTGCAGCATCTGCTCATCAATGTCAGCTGCAGCTGCACAGGCCCACAGGAAGACCTGTCAGGTATAGCTGGCCATCACAGACCACAGAGGGGCCTGGCTGGGCGAGGTGTGTGGCGAGGTTGCTTTCCGGGTAATTTCCAGGCGCCGGGTTGAGGGAGTAAGGGCCAAACCAAGAGGCTGTGGCGACTTCAGGATCTGGGGGGTGGGCTGGGGAAGAGGTCACAGCGCGTGGCGAGGGTTGGAGGGGGCTGCCTGCCCTGGAAAGAACCACAGCAGCACTGCGTACAATAAACGAAGAGATGTGTATTAGAACAATCACACCCAGGGAAGAAAGAGGTATCTGCATCATCAAATATGGAATGTTGAAGAAACAGTTAAAATAAATAAAAGACTCCAAGCGCAGCTGGGGCTGGCTCAGGCTGGGGCTCGGAGGCCGCTGCACATCAGCTCCAGGCTGCAGGGGCCACCACCTGGCCATACTGGCCTCCTCCCCGACGCAGCACAGCTGTGCCTGGGACACAGAGCGTCTCTCAGGTACTGAGCAGCCAGCGAGCTCACTCCCCACTGTCCTCACTGATCTCTGTGACAATGTCTATCAGGCTCTGGAGCCCGAAGATGTAGCCAGCGTCCTGGCCCTCGTGCACCACACTGTCCTCGCCATACAGCCTGCAGGTGGTGTGTGCAAAGTCGATCATGCGCACGTCCACGGAGCTGGCACCAATGGGTTTGTAGGCATAGGCACCAGCAGATTCATCGGCCGACTCCTCTGACAGGTCCTCCAAGTCCTCAGCATCTGAGTCCAGGGCCACTTCAGGCCATTCCTTGCCATCATATATGACTAGCAGGGAGCTGGAGTAGAAGCGGTAGGACTCCTGTCGCTCCAACACTGCCTTGAGCTCTGCCAGCTTCTTGAGCACAGGGCCCAGGAGCTCACGGCGCAGGTACCGCCCATTGTGGAAGAACTGGAAAAGTGCCTCCTTGAAGCCCTGCACCGACAGCTTCCGCCCGTGGTACTTGTTCATGAACATGAGCTGCCCACTGCCTGCCTGGTACACCTGTTGGAGACAGAACAGCAGCAGGTCAGTAGCTGAAGGTCATGTTAAGACCGGGGTGGGGTGGGGTGGTATGACAGGCCACATCAGATGCTTTGTCAAGCAGAAGAGTTAAACTCTCTGATCAGCACCCCCCATCCACCCAGGGTTGGTCCTTGTGCCACAGCCCCTAACTCAACAGTCAGTGGGAGAGGGCCTAACCCTCCTGCCTTCCTCCCCACTCCTATCCACAGACTCTGGACTCAGCCAGCCTTGCCAGTCTCAGAGGGGAGCACTCAGGTACACATGCTTCCCTTCTTAACCATAAAGCAACAAATTCACACAGGGCCAAATCTGGAACGCTCTGAATCAATAGGACTATCCCACGGTGGGGGCATGGCGACTGCTGGAGGCCCTGGCTTGCGCCTTCTTGCACTAGCACGCCCCTCACCTGCATGCCACACACACGCACACCAATGACCGCAGATGTGCTCTGCTGACACTTTCGGATCTGGTTGGCTGCCTTTTCCTCTGACGCGTCATCACCATGCTGGCGCGTGCCCATCTTGAGGTCCAGGACACAAGGCACCTCGTAGCGGGAAGTCAGGTTTTCCAGTAAGATGAATTCTGAGTGGTTAAGGACAATCCTCCAAGAGGAAGTTACTGCTCGGGACCCTGGTGCCCTCAGGGCACAGTGCCTGGCTGTGGAGACCCCTTATCTCACAGGGGACTCCCTCAGTCCCCCCATCTTCCAGGCAGGGAGCCAGGGCAGACTGCAGAGCTGAGTCACATCTATTTCTTGGGGACCTGGCAGGCACACAGCCTGCATCTGCACTCACACAGGTCTGGGATACTGCCAGTGCGGGACATCACACACCACTCCCTGAACTCAGCTACGTGTGGGACCGCGGTCCAGCAAACTGGCCTCAATTATACACAGAACATCAAAGAAGTTCAGTACATCTTATAGCCTTAAACATGAAATTTAAAATTAGTATAAACTGAAGATATTTTTCTCTTTACAATGTCTTTTTCCCAGTTGTGTGTACCAAGGCCTTCAACGCTTGCAGCAATTGTTGTCTCACCACTTCGGATTACAAGGAACCAGTGAGCCCTACCGCAGAAATCTGGAAATTATGACCTATTGCTCATTCTTGCACAGCCTATAAGCCAGGAATTTTTTTTTTTTTTTTTGGACAGGCAGAGTGGACAGTGAGAGAGAGACAGAGAGAAAGGTCTTCCTTTGCCGTTGGTTCACCCTCCAATGGCCGCCGCAGCTGGCGCGCTGCAGCCAGCGCATCACGCTGATCCGAAGCCAGGAGCCAGGTGTTTCTCCTGGTTTCCCATACGGGTGCAGGGCCCAAGGACTTGGACCATCCTCCACTGCACTCCCGGGCCACAGCAGAGAGCTGGTCTGGAAGAGGAACAACCGGGACAGAATCTGGCGCCCCGACCAGGACTAGAAAGCCGCAGGTGGAGGATTAGCTTAGTGAGCTGCGGCGCCGGCCCAGGAATGGTTTTTACATTTTTAAGATTTATATTTATTTATCTGAAAGGCAAAGCAACAGAGAGAAAGGGAGAAGAGGGAGATGAAGACAGGGTAGAGGGAGACAGACCTACCATCTTCTACTTTGCTCCCCAGATCTGAGTCAGGCTGAAGCCAGGAGCCTGGAACTCCATCCTGGTCTCCTGTTAAGCCCCAAATGCTTGGCCATCTTCTATCGTCTTCCCAGGAGCATCAGCAGGAAGCCAGATAGGCAACAGGCCAGCAGGGACACAAACCTGCACCCTGAAATGGGATCCTGGCATTGACAACATGGCTTAACCTGCTGCTCCACAACGCTGGCCCCTAGTTTTTACATTTTTAAAGAGATCAAGATAGGTAATACTTTATGACACATGAAAATCCAATGAGATTCACTGACAGTAACCATAGGGTCCGCCTGGGACAGAGCCGTGAATTCATTTACATTACTATCTATGGCTGCTTCCACGCTCTAGTGGCAGAGATGTGACACAGATGACATATCCCACAAAAGCTAAAATATTTCCCATCTGGCCCTTGACTGGAAAGCTTTGGTGACCTCTGCCTGAGAGGAATCTGAGTTCCTGTCTAGGGCAGGAAATGTACATGGCCTCAGGCTATCTTTCACAGACATACCATACCATGACTGTGTCAAAATCACTCAAAAGCCTATTTGAAAAGGTTTTCTTGGCCAACGTTGGACAACTGGGACAACTGCAATGGACTAAAACACCATATTGGGGCTTGCATTGTGGTACGGCAGGTTAGGCAGTTGCATGCAGTATCCCATATCGAAGTGCTGGTTCAAGTCCCAGCTGCTCCCCTTCTGATCTAGGTTCCTGCTAATGCACCTGGGAAGGCAATGGAGGATGGCCCAAGTGCTACTTATGTGGAAAACCAGGATGGGGTTCCTGGCTTTGGCCTGGCTCAGACCTGGCTGTCGGGGCCTTATGGAGAGCGGAGAGATCTCTTTTATTTCTCTTTCTCCCCTTTCTTCCTCTCTGTTGCTCTTTCAAATAACTAAATGTTTAAAAGCCCCACCAATTAATTTGAATTCATGCATCTATCATGATGCTAAAAAATCCACTGGTCACTTCTGGAAGACATAAAGGAATCTACTCATTATTCCAAATGTTATATGTAAGTAAACATTTGAACTGCCTTCCCGATATAAGCAATATCTCAGGATAAACATGTCATTGATGGGGAAAAGTTGCTCTTTATGGAGGGATTCCAGCTAATGAATGACAACATCAGAAAATCACCTCATTAAAAAATGGATCAAAGGCAATTATGATCCAAAAGAAAGACAAGTAAGCCCTGTGCTTCCCAACGGATGTGTACAATACCATCATGGCAAGATCCTTGCTCCACCCTCTCCCAAACTGAACCCAAATATAATCAAGCCTTTAGATCCAATTTTCAATTTAATGGAAACAGAACGGACAGAATAACATGTAAATAACACCCAGAGGTGCCATTAGTAAAATCTAGATCATGGCATACTCTAGAAGATCCAGTTTCTCTGGACAAGAAATTTCCAATAAATGGGAGTGCTATATTAAAGATTAAACACTTTGGGGCCAGTGCTGTGGCACAGCGGGTGGGGCTGCCGCCTGCAGTGCTGACATCCCATATGGGGACCAGTTCAAGACTCGGCTGCTCCACTTCCAGTCCAGCTCTGCTATGACCTGGGAAAGCAGTGGGAGATGGCCCAGGGCCTTGGGCCCCTGCACCCATGTGGGAGACCTGGAAGAAGCTCCTGGCTCCTGGCTTTGGATCAGCTCAGCTCTGGCCATTGTGGCTGAATGGGGAGTGAACCAGCCGATGGAAGACCTCTCTCTCTCTCTGCCTCTCCTTCTCTGTCTGTGTTAACTCTTCCAAATAAATCAATCTTAAAAAAAAAAAAAAAAAAAGATTGGGGGCCGGTGCTATGGCTCACTTGGTTAATCCTCTGCCTGCAGCGCCGGCATCCCATATGGGCACCAGGTTCTAGTCCCGGTTGCTCCTCTTCCACTCCAGCTCTCTGCTGTGGCCCGGGAGGGCAGTGGAGGATGGCCCAGGTGCTTGGGCCCCTGCACCTGCATGGGAGACCAGGAAAAAGCTCCTGGCTCCTGGCTTCGGATCAGCACAGCACTGGCCATAGAAGCCATTTGGGGAGTGAACCAACAGAAGGAAGACCTTTCTCTCTGTCTCTGTCTAACTCTATTTGTCAAGTTAAAAAAAATTTTTTTCAAAAAAAAAAAAAAAAAAGATTGAACATTTCAATCAAATGCAACACATGAACCTTATATGGATCCCTATTCAGACCAATCAATAAAAACATACTTTTGAGATAGGAGAATATGGACAAGAACTACGCTTTTGACAGTAAGGAACTATTGCCTACTTTTTAAAAATTTAAACATTTTATTGAAATACAGTATACATACCAAGAAATGTACCTAAGTGTACAGATGAGTTTTCTAAGATTTATTTATTTATTTATTTGAAAGAAAAAATACACAAAGAGAGGGAGAGATACAGACATTCCATCTGCTGGTTCACTCCACAGATGGCTGCAAGGCTAGGCTGGGCTGGGCCAGGCCGAAGCCAGGAGCTTCTTCCGTGTCTCCCACATGGGTGGCAGGGACCCAAGCACTTAGGCCATCTTCCACTGCTTTTCCCAGACTATCAGCAGGGAGCTGGATCAGAAGTTGAGCAACCGGGAATTAAACCAGCACCTCTATGGGATGCCAGGTCACAGCTATGCCACAACACTGGCTCCCAGATGAGTTTTTTATCCTCTGAACATGTACTGCCCACTTTTTGAGGAGACGTAATGGTTTTAATATCCTTTAGTGACACATGCTGGTACACACACACAACGTCTTATAAAAATCCAGGCCCCAAGAGGCACATATGAAATGGTATATCTCAAATCTGCTTCAAAAGGAGTCTGGGGTGGACATCTGGCCTACCAGCTAAGATGCCCACATTTCCCACTGGAGTATCTAAGTTGGATACCTGACTCTCGCTCCTGACTCTAGCTCCTGCCAATGTGTACTATGGCAAACAGCAGTGATGGCTCAAGTGACTTGAGTCCCTGTCACCTCTGCAGATATCTGGATTCAATTTCTGGCCCGAGTTTGGCCCTTGCCCAGTCCCAGCCATTGCAAGCATTTGAGAATAAAACAGCAGAAAAACATCTGTCTCTCTAATCAATTTTTTAAAAAGAAAAAAAAAAAAAAAAGAAAAGAAAAGAACAGAAAAGGAGTCCAGTTATGAGGTACTGGGTATACAGACAGTCACGACACAAGGGTTCACTGCTGAACCTGGGTGACAGGCACTTACAAATTCAATGTACTGTTCTATTTTAAACTTGTTTTCCCAAATGAAAGTTAAAAATAAAACATCCTCAATTCTGAAGAATTTCATTCCATAAAATAAAAACAAACAAAATAACAGACACTAAAGCAAAGCTTAGTGGGCAAGTAACAAGGGGTGGGGGTTGGGGGAAAGGAACCTAGCACCACCCTAACGTATACTTCCTGTGCCAGTCTGATGAGTCAGATTTAAAGGCTGGTCCCCAACCCTTCTGGCCTCAGCTCTCGCAGCTGAGTACGGTTTGGGGGCTTGTGCAGGAGTCTGAAAACAGGGACCAGCCCCTGCCAGCTTCGGGCAGGCCACCTAGGCTGAAGCCGACCTGGTGTAAGCTGGCTTCTTCACGAGCCCCACTCCCCACCACCTGGACTTCCAGGCAAGCTCCCAGCCCTGAGGAATGTGTTATCTGCCCCCGGTCATCACAGGAGGCTTCTGGCACAATCCTGGAAGAGAATTTCAAATTCACCCACAACTTAAAACACAACTTCTCTCTACCAGTTCCAAGGACCTTCTTTCCTTCCTTGTCCCTGGTACAAAGGATACTGTACTGGTTCCGATGCTTTGCGTTCTCCTTCATTCTCTGTAACTGCTGCTGATGACATTTCATGCTCCAAGGGTTGTAGTGTTTAAGCTGGGAACTTACATTCCCTTTTTTCTCTACACTGTAGTACAAGACTTCAGATTTCTTTAGCCACTCAAATTCTTCTTCTAACTTATGGCTATAAAGAGAGATAAGGATCCATTAAATCACAACATCTTATAAAAAGAGACACCAAGGCACTTTCTGAGAGTGATACAGTTAGATCTTGATACAGTGGTGGTTACAGGGTATATATCTGCATAAATTCATTGATCTCTTTTAAATAGGTACACTTTATAGAGTGTATATCAAAACTCAAGTTGATTAGAAAAATAAATAAACAAATAAGTGCCAGACTGCCACAAGAAGAACCCAGGATACATGATCTGCCTCTGCTGCCCAACACTTCCAGGCAGCACCACACCTCCTGGCCCCTGATGCACCCAAGTTCCACTGACTGCAAACACTAGAGACCGGGAAAATCTGAATTGACATTCCATGGAGGGAGCCGGCACCGTGGCTTACTTGGTTAATCCTCTGCCTTGTGGTGCCGGCATCCCATATGGGTGCCGGATTTTAGTCCCGGTTGCTCCTCTTCCAGTCCAGCTCTCTGCTGTGGCCCAGGAAGGCAGTGGAGGATGGCCTAAGTACCTGGGCACCTGCACCCGCATGGGAAACCAGGAGGAAGCACCTGGCTCCTGGCTTTGGATCGGCGCAGCGCCGGCCATAGTGGCCATTTGGAGGGTGAACTAACGGAAGGAAGACCTTTCTCTCTGTCTATCTGTCAAATAAAAAAAAAAATAAAAAAAAAAAAAAAAAAAAAAGAAATTCCATGGAAGCAAGTCATTTACTTAGCTACATTATATATACTCTATCTGCATTATCTGTATTTTCACAAGCCCTGCCAAGGTATGGGACGTGGAAGGTGCGGCCTAGGTGGATCCTCAAGTTTCAGGAATGCTTAACTGACAATTTTGTCCCTCACTCTCAGTGAGCAGCCTGAGACAAAGGGACAGTTCCAGGCACAGAGCAGCCATGGACCGAATCGCTGAATGGCTTTTACAGGCACCACTGTGCTGTGATTGTTTACATAAAATGGCATGACCTAAATCCACAGTCAAAAGAGGCTGGGTATGCCAAGTGGGAACTAGCCGCTGTGTGACTAGGCACCTCCTAAGTCCATGGTGAGTCTTTATCCCCAGGGAACCAGGCTGTACCCAAGGCGTTCAACACCTCCGCTCCCACAGAGCCCAAGGTTCCCCCTAGTTTTACTCACCTCTTCATCTTCTCCTCTTTCCGGTGCTGGCGCACCCACTCCTTGGGAGTCTTTTCTGATTCTAGAACATGGTGTTTTTTGGTTGTCCACCTCAGGACCTTACTTTTTGGCTCACAGTCTGAATTGTCTACAAGGTCCACAGTTCCATGGTCCCCTTTTAATGGATATGCTATTAAACACAAATTCCTGTCTTCATCTTCTTCAAAACACACAGATACTACACCTGGAAAGGGGATGAGGAGCAGGAAAGATTTTTAATTCCATAAGAAGATGCATTCTAAAAACATGATTTTAACATTTGTTTTTTTCTTACCCTGTTCCTTAGTCTCTATGTTGCCAGAGGCCCCAAACTCATCTGCAAACCTAACAAATATCAAAACAGCTAGAAAAGATGACACCATACAAGACAAGCGATTAGGGAGCAAACATGGCTGAGAGTCTTCCTCTCTGATGCACTCAACAAGGCAAGAGCCAAAGAATTACAAGACACATTTTTCCATCATTGAAAATGTTTATTAATTTTCATGTAACTCTTCTAATCCTAAGAAAGACGCAAAACATCACTCTTTTTATCTTGTGGGAATTTGTCATGTCCTGAACAGAAACTGGTGGCCTTGAGGCTTGCTTTAGAGCAGAGCCTGAATGCAGCAGGAACACAGTTTTGCCTTGGGGTGAGAAGCATCCAAGGGTAAGGGAAGACCGGGTAAGCAAAGCAAAATAAAGGGGCAAACAAACCACACAGCACAACAGACACCCTAGCAGAGGCTTCCTGTAGCACCCCCACACGGGTGGCACCTCAAGCCTTTTGTCCCTCTCAAATGTTTTTATTGGTCTTTGCAGTCTCATGTCACAAAAGAACAAAATGAACACAAGGCGGGTGGGGTTGTGTGGGGAGCACAGACATGTGATGGACTTGAAAGCAGCTCTCCCCTTGAGTCTCTAGAACTTGCTATGTGTAATTAGACAGTCTCTGTTTGAGGAGGGGGCTGTCAGGTGGCAGCATTTCAGCAGGTGCCGACGAGCGCCTTACAACCGCCTGGCGGAACACCTTTCCTCCCAGGCCTTTCTGCCCCAGGATCACTCAATTTGCTCAGTCCTTGCTGCCCGCCCGCTCGCTGGCTTGCTGCAGGGAAATGCGTGCTCAGAGAGAGACGACACTTCTGAGGTGGCCCCCAGCGCTGGGCGGAGAGGAGCCAGGACGGGGAATTCAGGGAGCCACACTTCCCTGTGGCTACGGGGAAAATGAGCAAGGGAAAAAAGGGGACAGGGGCGGCCAGCTAACAAAGAGCGTTTGGCTTTGTCCTGGAAAAAACAACAGAGAAGGACCAAGTGAGGGCCCCCAACTCTTCCCACCCCCATCACATCACACATGCATTTCAGAGTACAGAGAGGTGCGCAGTACATTTTGTCTGTAAAGAACGTTTCAACAGTCCCAGAAAAACCTAAGTTGTTCCAGTCTTTCATATAACCAGGCAATGCACATTTAGAAATTCATTTCTTTAATAGAATTCTTCCTTGATTTACAACCCCATCCCCACCCCACCATGGTGGCTGCTGTCCCCCCAAAAATGCATTATAAAAAAGAAGTCACCAAATGTGAATCAAAGGGTTGCCTTCACATAGAAATTTTGGGACATTCCGTAACAGCAAAGGGCTTCAGCTAATCAGCACAGCCTCCCACTCCTGCATTCCATCTGACTCAACCCTGCTCCCAGCCTACCTAATCACTTGGGCTTCTGGTTTCCTGGAGCACAAAAAGCAGGCGGCAAGTATTCTGTGTAAAATTCTCCCAAAGTCTTCCCCCACTGGCCCCCCCCATGGGGGACTATGGGTTACTGTGATCTAGAGATACCTGAACATAAAACACAACTAAACTTCCACCAAAAATCAACTCAAAACAAATCCACAAAACAAAATTGAGCGATCTTACCAGGGCTTGAAAACTGAGGGTGTGAGGTGCTGGGCGCGGGCCAAGAGGAGGAGGAGGAGGGAAAACACAGCGAGCGGGAGGGAGGGAGGGAGGGGCACCCGGGACGGCTTCTGGGGCCCTCCATGGCCACGCTCCCTCACATCTCCTCACCAGCCTGGTGACCCCTCCAGAAGCTGGGGGCTCACCTTTGTACTGGGGAGTGAATTTACGCATCTCAGCTGGGAGGGTCTCGTAGAACTGATGCTCCCTTGGGATCAAAGGCTTGCACAAGGTTGTCTCATTGAAGCGGAGCACACACGAGTGCCCCCCAACCTGGTGAACAAAGGGCTCCAGCAGGATGCCCTTGGTGCGGGGCTCCACGTCCATGGCCCTGAAGGCTGGGCTCATCCTCCGGGCGCAGGCAGCAGGGAGAAGGGGGAGGCAGCGGGGTCCTGCGGCCAGCACGTCCTCCGTCTGCTGTCCTTCTGTTTGGTCTCAGCTGCTTGGCTTGCGCAGGCCAGGACGCTCTGCCAGAAACAAACACAATTATGACAAGGGATTTAGAAACTGCCTGGGAACCGCCTTAGAGCCTCAGGCCGGCCCAGCTGCTCTAGCAGAAAGACAAACAGCCGGAATTCAGGCGAGGCCCCGCCCATGCCACCCACCTAGGCCCCGCCTCCTCCCTCAAGACAAACACCCTGAGCCCCTGGGGGGCGGGGCGGATGCAGATAGGCAGGGATTGAGATCCAAGGGCCCATAAACAGGCACGATCTATTAAGTTAAAAAACCACTATGGAAAAACATTAAACCGTGACGAGGTGAAATCACAACTTAAAACCTAATATTCTGGTTACATTTTACATTTTCTAGTAAGACTGTCAAGCTTGACTGGTGCCCAAATCTCTCCATTAAATTATATTTTTATAAAAGGCACTTAAAACCTACTTATTCATCATCTATCAAGATTCACTTGCCCAAGGTGCCCACAAACCCTTTCTCTGCCCAAGGCCAAAGACAAGCCCCATTAACCTTATTACCCATGAAGCTTGCGACCAGATTTAATGATTAACGTCTGTATCTAAAAACAACCGATCAAGGCTGGCAAACTCCGTTTAAAAGACACAGAGTGTTCCAGGTCACCGACTATTTTTATCGGTTCTATCCTGATCGCCAAAAGCTGGGGCACACCTTTCAAACAAAGTTGAGCTCCTGGGGCAATCAGGGCACTCATCTACTGTGGCATCTAGAGCCACACAGATTTCAGCAAAAACACACCTCTGTGCCTCTTAACCATCTCAGGGCATGTCAGGCGAACTTTTCCATCTATACTTGACAGACTATGCAGTCTCTGTTAGCACTACCAGGACTTGAGCTACATTTCAGTATCCACATAGGATCTTACTAGAAACCCTTTCAGTTTTCATGATTCCAAAGGAGGTGGTGGAAGTAAGGATGGATCTGCCGGAGATGTGCCCTCCGTCCTCAAAGGTAGATAAAGCACCTGTCATGTGTCAGGCTGACTACAGAAACTTCTTAGTCCTCATCATACTTCCTTTTTTAGCATTTTTTAATAAAGATTTTATTTATTTACTTGAGAGGTAGAGTTACAGAGAGAGGGAGAGACAGAGATAAAGGCCTTCGTCTGCTGGTTCTCTCCCCATATGGCTGCAATGGCAGGACCTGGCCGATCCAAAGCCAGGAGCCTGCCTGGAGCTTCTTCAGGGTCTCCCATGAAGGCCCAAGGGCCCAAGCACTACTGCCTTCCCAGGCCACAGCAGAGAGCTGGATTGGAAGAGGAGCAGCTAGGACAGAAACTGGCACCGCAGGTGGAGGCTTATCCCACTACGTCACAGCACCAGCCCCCTCGACATCTTCCTGTTGCAATGAAGCTGATTTGGGTAGGTTAGGAAATGCATCCAGGGCCAGGGACAATAAGCTAGAGCTCCCAAGTGAACCCCAGACTATTGAGTGCTCCAAGACAGGAGCCTCTGTGATCTGACACTTATGCCTTGGAAGAGTATTCCTACTATATAATGTGTTTGTCTCACAAGAGTGCTTTTACCACATAATTGTATTTTTCTACAGTAGCCTCTTTAATGACTTAAGTTGGTATTAATCTTTTCCTCTTAGAACCTGTGAGCCCCAACTGGATTCAAGGTTTAGGAACACTAGTTTTTTCTATATGCAAAGAACAGAGACCCAGAGGTCCTCATTTCCCACTAATACTACCTGCAAATCACCACAGAAGTCCCCAGGAGGGCATGTTAGGAAGAGTCCAGAATTTAACACAGGCTATGGGACCCTAACGGTGAGTACATCCTAGTTATTTCAGACTCTCTCCAGAAGATGGCGCTCTCCAATGACTGGTCACACAGCCCTTTCTCCACTTCTATACAAACAAGTTCGCACTAGTTTACTATCTCATGAGTAAACAATACAGTGATTCAGCCAACCTGCCAGCACCAAAGCATGGTGAACACTGAAAGTACAAGACTCTCCTCATGGGTCAGGCTTTGAGACACACAGTGCAAAGTTTTCAGAAATGTGTGAAATTGCCTCTATTATTACAGCAATGCTAATGATGCAAACCCTTTTCAAACTATGCTCAGGATTCCTTAAATGTATTCAATTAAATACAAAAATATCTTTCTCCAAGTTCCCTCTTACCCATCCCGACCTCCCATAAAAAACTTATAATAATAAACAAAAGCCCAAGCCGGCGCCGCGGCTCTTAAGGCTAATCCTCCGCCTGCGGTGCCAGCACCCCGGGGTTCTAGTCCCGGTTGGGGCACCAGATTCTGTCCCGGTTGCTCCTCTTCCAGTCCAGCTCTCTGCTGTGGCCCGGGAGTGCAGTGGAGGATGGCCCAAGTGCTTGGGCCCTGCACCGGCATGGGAGACCAGGAGAAGCACCTGGCTCCTGGCTTCGGATCGGCACAGTGTGCTGGCCGTAGAGGCCATTTGGGGGGTGAACCAATGGAAGGAAGACCTTTCTCTCTGTCTCTCTCTCTCTCACTGTCTAACTCTGCCTGTCAAATAAATAAATAAATAAATACAAATAAAAATAAAAAAAGCCCAGGTCTGTCATGGCATCTCTCTAGAGTGTGGTTCATGGGGCAGCTGGAAACCAAAATATGAAGCCTGGGTCTTTACCTCCTGCTCCCACGTCTCTAGAGTGTTCATTAGTTGAGAGGCATGTGATGTGGCACCTTGCCACCCTACCCCTTGCACCCTACTCTGGCAGTCCATAGGACAATTACCCTTGGGAGAATCAGCATTTTGGGTATAGAGGTAGGAAAAATGAGGCTCAATCTTGCCTGCATGAAGTCTGATGACAGAGCAAACTCCCAACCGTGAGGTGGGGCCACATTCTAGTCCAAATTCTGCCACTCAATTTTTCTGTAGAAACATTCGAAGCCTCTGACTCCCCCCCTTTAGGTTCCAGTTTTCTGGTAAAATGGGAGGAGAGAAAGGCTTAAAGGAGATTTCTACTCAGTGGGTTGCAACCAAATTAGTGAGTGGTAATCAGCAGTTTCAGGAAGATACAGCTCTGTTTTGCTTTTTTACTCAAATAGAATGAAGTAGAAAACATCGATGCATTCCAAGTACTCAGTCCTGTTTTGTGACTCCTTTGTTTCAGTTATTAAGTTCAACTCTTACTGTGAACCTAAGTATGGCTTCACTGGACAACACACTCCTCACATCTGGAGATATACAGACACAGAGCTTCTGCTCTAAGCCCCTTTAGAGGCCCTATCACTGCATGAAAACGAAGGATCAACTTCCCAAGGATTGCAGAGCAGTCCGGCTTTCTCTCTAGGGGCCTCAACCAGGCCAGAAAAAAGAAAAGCCTCAAAGCACTTAGTCTACTTCTCCTGGTTTTCTCTCTCTCCCACATATTCTCTCTCTCTCATTCTATCCCACATGCAATTTGAGCAGGGACTCTCTTTTAATGGTTTCTAAACATTCAAGGTCTAAAACCCAGTTTCCTAGCAACCCTGGAGTATTAATGGTTACTGCAAAGCCCATGCAACGCGTAAACCCTGTGGAAGATGGGAAGAACCACAAAACACTGGCTTTACATTACCAATTATTTTACCTTTCCATTTTGCCTCATACTTGTCCATCAAGCTAGGAACAGTAAGGAGCATAGAACACGATCCATCCTATGATAAGACAGTTTTCTCCCACAGCCCACCCCTCCAACTCTATTAAACTGGTTTAACAATCTACTGAAAATAATGCCTTAATACTCTTAACTTTTAAAATATTGCAAATAAAATGACTATGATTCATAAAAGCCCCTGGGCCTTTAGCTCACTCATTCAGAATTTAGTTAATGAGGCTACAAATGAGATCCACTGGGGTTACTTACTGTACCCCAGGAAAAGCCCCAGGGTTAGGCAGTCACAGGGGATGGCATGAGACACACTAGCTAGAGGATGGAAAAACTATCCTCACCACTCACACCTTTTCCCAGACCCTCAGCATCTGCCTGGCACACATTCATACACAACTCCTGACCATGCTGCCAGGGTGAGCCCCTGGAAGTCTGACACACTGGGACAGCCACTTTGCAAAACAGCTGAGAAGTTTCTTATAAATTTAAACATATATTTACTATATATACACATATATAACAATTCTACTTCTAGGTCTTTACCTAAAAGAAATACATACAGGCCGTTGCCTCGGCTCACTAGTCTAATCCTCTGCCTGTGGCACCAGTACTCTGGGTTCTAGTCCCAGTCGGGGCACCGGTTCTGTCCCGGTTGCTCCTCTTCCAGTCCAGCTCTCTGCTGTGGCCCGGGAAGGCAGTAGAGGATGGCCCAAGTGCTTGGGCCCTGCACCCGCATGGGAGACCAGGAGGAAGCACCTGGCTCCTGGCTTTGGATCGGCACAGCGTGCCGGCTGTAGCAGCCATTTAGGGGGTGAAACAGCAGAAGGAAGACCTTTCTCTCTCTCTCTCTAACTCTGCCTGTAAAAAAAAAAAAAGAAGAAGAAGAAGAAGAAGAAAAAAGAAAAGAAAAAGAAATACATACCTAAGACTTATACAAGAGTGTCTGCTGCAGCAAAGACTATTCATAACAGCGAGAAGATGAAAACAACCATTTAAATGCCCACAAGTGGGTTAAGGGAGACACAAATGGTGGTCTATCTATAAAATGGAGTATTATTCAAGAATAAATATACTAATACACACCACAATGCAGGTGAACCACAAAAGCATTATGCTAAGTGAAAGAAGCCAATCATAGGGCATGGTGCAACAAGTAAAGCTGCTGCCTGTGATGCCGGCATCCCATGTGGGCACAGGTTCATATCCCAGCTGCTCCACTTCCAATCCAGCTGCCTACTAATGGTGTGGGAAAAACCTCATTGATGGGAGAACTGGACAAAGCTCCTAGTTCCTGGCTTCAGCCTAGTTCAGCCCTGGCTGTTACAGACATCTGAGGAATGAATCAAGAGATGGGAGATCTCGCTCCTTTCTAAGTCTTTCAATAAATAAATCTTAAAAAAAGCCTATCAC